TCTCCTCGCCCCTTTGGTAACTATGGACTTTTGATGTTCTTAGCTGGAGCCTTTCAACAAGTTATTAGAGGTACACGTACAATGAACTTTGTTTACTGATTACTCATGAAGTATTGAGTTATGTTTACTTTTTGGATTGGAATATGGGTTAATGTTGAGTAAATAACACAAACATAATGTTGTAAACAAGACAAACATAATGTTATTTGCTTCATGCAAAGTTTAACTGAATATTCTCAGGGTTATGATAACCAAAAAACAGAATTCTGTTCATGCAAATGACACGACAACATACTCGATCATTATTTTGTTGAACTAATTGTCTATTATTTCAGTCACGTTGGAAATTTTCCTGAGCAAATTACCTTAGAACTGAAGCATATTAATTATCGTCAACGTATCTTCAAGACTTGAATTCTTCCTCTCACATAGGGAGATTACTTGGTTGTATTAGTAGTAGAGGTAATATGGTTTTTGTGGATTTGATGTATAGTCATTTTGAACTTTTGGGAGGCTTTAATTTTTGGCAGATTTATTTGTCCACAACTGGAGTTTGCACCGCAACCCAAATGGTAAAAGAAAAGTGTTAGTGTTGGTAATGTCTTTGTGTCATTCTAATGTAGTAGACACCCAAACATAACTAGGTTATGAATTAATAGTTCCACTGTAGGATGACTGGGGAATAAATTGATATAAAACATGTCAGGCAAGGGAAGTACCCATTTTGGCTGTCAGCTTCCATTATAAGGATTGTCAAATTATGATGGAACATGTTGTGCTTTATGTTGATTTTCCTTGTTGCATATTTTGATAAATGAATACGAGACAAAGGAAAATAAAATCAAAAAGGGAAATTTTGTAACACAATGTGTAAATTTGTATTGTTGTAAAATTCTATTTTGAAGTTATCTGGCCCAGTGGTATTCAAAGTCACATGTCCAATGAACTTCTCAGAATTCCAGTGTAGGCATAGAAGTCTGTATACTATTTAACAATTAGATTATGAGCTCGAGATTTCTATGAGGGATAGTTGGTGAGGCCGAAGGCCGAATCAAATATCAACGCATAGAAATCGAGAGCGAATAATCTAATTGTTTTAGTAGAATTCTGACTAAAATTAACGCAAATAACGGTTTCCAATTATTTTTCTCCACATTATTGAACTTCAGGCTTTCACAAAATCGTCCTTGGTAATTTTGCAGTTGTTTACGCCCGCGCACCCGATTTTTCAATAATTTCAAGTTTTTAAAGTCAAGAAACCATCAATTTCCTTTTTTCAGTCGTCTCAGGAATTTAATTGTCTATTTACATCTAAACTTTCTTCCAAAACGTCGGAAAAACGATAACAAAGTTGCATTTTGTGGACGATCGACAGCTACTGCACTCTAATGGCTGATAGTATACGAGTAACTTAGCCAATCAGATTGCAGCATTTGAATTAGTATACTAGTAGAATTCTACTAATCAAAGCTAGAATTGGTTTTGAGAGGGCTGCCGTAAAGGTCAGTGTTTTGTTTTTTCAAAATGAATATTTCAGCCACAGGAAACACACGTTCCCTCTTCTGATCTTTAAGGTAACTGTTTCAAAGTACTAAAAGAAAAATGGTCGTTGTCTTCCTTAGAATTCAATGAATTATACATCATGATATCCAACTGTTCACTACCTCCTGGGGGATATTGAAGGCACGTTGCTTTTGGTGGACTGTTAAGCCGCCAACCAATGAAAATGATATTATTCTAACAATATTCTAATAGCTACATGTA